TCTACTAAACAAAAGAAGAAGACGTACTTACTTAACGTAACACTACTTACCTACCTACAACAAACGTAAAATAAATAACTACGTACGTAATAACCTACCTACCTACCTCCTCTCTCTCTCTCTCTCTCTCTCTCTCTCTCTCTCTCTCGCGCACACACAAGTACGCGTGCGAGACAAAATGAATCCAAAACAAAATTCAATACAAGAACCAGTGTCAAAGTAGGAAACTCATGCAAATATTGAGATGAAGAAAATGGGCTGTACTTTTTGACACAGATATCCCCTGCTTCCCAACAAACGACATGATATTTGCCTAGCAGAAAAGAATTGTAACTTCTCTTCTGAATCTGTCATAGCATCATAAGCTTCCCTATGTTTTCTATCCTCCATATATTTATATTCACCCTGAAAAAAAAACAGCAGAATATAAAATGAAAATTTTCATAAGTATCATTCACATAAAAACATATATGATGCAAGAATGAAGAATGATGAAAAGATATATTGTTCTTTTTGTCCATTGTTTTCTTGTTCTTTTCATGATAACAAGTACTGGAGTGACAAAACTTATGTGGATTAAACTGTATTACTTTCTTTAAAGGAAAACAGACAACAAGCATTACGCTCTCACTGAGATAGTATAAAGAAGCTCAATCTAGACCTCCTGATGCATCATAACTTGAAAAACCCTAACAATTTATTGAATTGAAGAACTCACAATATTATTTTTACAGCATGGAGCTCTTCCAAGGTGGAACCACATGTTGGATAGTCTTTTTGTCGACAGTAGAGAGAGAGAGAGAGAGAGAGAGAGAGAGAGAGATTGCCAAAAGGATTTTCAATGTTCGATATAATCAAGCACGAACGAGTAATTTTTGTGTGGGGCTGGTTATTAGTTTCAAGAATCAAGCACAAGAAGAGAGAGAGAGAGAGAGAGATGGTGGAGGTGTTAAGTTCAGGAATCCTATGCAAAAGATTGAATGGAACATGATATGAGGAGGAAAGAGAAAGCTGGGAATCTGAGTGCACCTGAAGCTTCCCCCGTGGGCCAGAGAAGTTAATGGGTTCGTCCATTTCTCTCTCTAAGGCTCTGAGATCATCAAAGATAGTGTTCACCATAGCAGGAACAGGGGAAGAAGTCCCCCAACCTTGCCATTCTTCTAAGCTCAGCCCAATTCTTGAAGCAGGAGGAGGAGGAGGAGGAGGGGCCATTGAGGACTTGGGTTTGAAGGGAATGGGATGCCCTAGGGTGCCGCAATCGAGAGGAAATGAAAACAGTTTCAGATGACAACGGGGGTGGATGGTTACGAAGGAGAAAACGCGCAGGAAATTTGAATGCATTCTCTCTCTACCTCTTTCTCTCTCAAGACCACCAAGCGAACTGCACAAGTATTTCCCATGTCCTTTTTCCTTCCAAATGCATATTCGTTTTATGCGGGCTGGACTGCATTTCTACAAATATGCGGTCCAGATGTATAAAGCATCCAACTTGCAAATAGGTGGTCCATCTAAAAAATTAACGGTCCAAATATTTTTTTAATATAATTTTTATTTTTATTTTTTAATTTATTTATTATTTATGTTCATGACCTCCATGTTATATAGATATATATTATCTAAAAATTAAGATCAAACTATATTTAAAATATATATTTACTGCAAACCCGGCATTTTTACAATATGCGGCACTTATGAATGCTTTGAGTCTTCGAAATAGAGCTAATTGAACAACTTAGAAAGCATTTAGAAATAGAGCCAAGTGATCAATTTATCATGCATTTGTTTGTATACTTGCTTTCCCAAGCACTTGGATCTCGCATTCTCTATTTTTTTTTTCTCAAAGTCCCATTAGTCCTCTGAATCCATTTCCTTAAATAAATATGTCCATTTTAGAAAAGGGAATCGTCTATAAAAATAGCGTTTTTTTTTACAAGGAGGTTACACCTATTTTCACTCATTAGATGTCAAATTGGATACCTTCGAGTGAGTCATGAAGTTCAAAAAAAAAAATGGAATTGTTAGTAAGTGACACTCTTATAACCACCCATTTTGAAACTTAAGGGACATTAATGATTGTGATCCCACATTCATTTTGAAATTTAAAGGACAACTTGATTGTGACCTCCTTGTGTTTAATAAGTGACACTCTTACAACCATTCATTTTAAAATTTAAGGGACTACAATGATTGTGACCTTTTTGAACAAAAGATAAAAAAAAAAATTTATATAAAGATACAACTTTATAACGTAGAACTACGGATGCACCTCAAAAGTATCAGAAATAATACATTTTACGACATATTATCTACACCGTCCATTTTCAAGAGTTTCATATGTTTATAGATCTACTTGATTTTAATTATTTTTTAAATTTAAAATTTTATAATTAGACATAAAAATTGATTTTGAGATAATCCTAAGAACATTTTACATCAAAATTATATACCATGATAAAATTTGAAGGTGCACCTTACCTCTATAGCTACGGATGCATCTGTACCGACTACACCCAAAGTTTATATAAAGTTGCAACCTTAAAATGTACAAGTAAAGATGCACTTCAAAAATCCATGTGAAAAGGTTGTTTTAATGTTTAAAAACTCTCTAATTGATCATCTCAACATCGAGATGTATGAATATGAAAAAAAAAAAAGAAGATTTGAGTCCCAAAAATAGCGCATCTTGCAATATATTACCTAGATAGTCCATTATCAAAATTTCACATGTTTATAGATCAACTTAATTTTAACATGTTTTGAAGTTTATAATTTTATAGTTAAATATGAAAATAAATTTTGATATAATCCTAAAAAAAATTTAAAACAAAATTATATATTATGATAAAATTTAAAGGTGCGCCTTGATTAGATTGTTTAAGGTTAAAATCACACCCGATTAAATTAGAGCTCATGTCAAAAAATTCACTAAAAGTGGTTGTTTTGATGCTCAAATATCTTCAAATTGATCATCTCGACATCAAGATGCATGGCCAAGAGAAAAAAAATTGATTACAAGTTTTGGAAATAATGTATTTTTAGACCCCCAATTTTCAAGATTTTCAAGTTTTCATAGATCGGCTCGATCTATGCTATTTTTTAAGCTTTAAATTTTATAATTAAAGATAAAAATATATTTTAAGACTATCACAAAGATTTTCAGTATTGAAACCACATTTCTTAACACTATTTGAAGGTGCACTTTACTTTGCGGTTTGTATAAACATTCAAATTAGAGCCTACCTTCAAATAGTATCAAGAAATGTGGTTTCAATATTGGAAATCTTTGTGATAGCCTTAAAATGTATTTTCATATTTATTTATAAAGCTTAAAGCTTCAAGAATAGTGTAGATCGACATATATATGAGAACTTGAAAATCTTGAAAATTGACGGTCTAAAAATGCGTTACAAAATACATTATTTCCAAAACTTGCAATCCATTTTTTTCTCATGTCCATGCATCTTGATGTCGGGATGATCAATTTTAAAATATTTGGGCATAAAAACAATCTCTTCTAGTGAAATATTTGAGGCAAACTCAAATTTGATTGTTTAGAGCCTCGGCTCTATATAAACTTTTCTCAAAAAATATTGTTGCATAGACTTTTGTTGTGACTTGTGCGTCTTTCTCTTGAGCTCTAGAGAAATAATATGTACTTTTCAACTCACCGGAAATTACATCTTTTGCAAGTTAAAAGGAGCCCGTTTACACATTAAAATGCCCCAATTGTGTTTAAGACGCACCCTCTCCAACCAAAAATACCTAAATTTCATTGGTAAGCTTACAATTTTCACCTTATTTTTTTGGGTAAGTGAATTTTCACCTTATAATATATTATATGATATTATTTTATTTACAATGTATTATAGAAGACAAAATAAGCGCTTACTTTAAGGGTCTTACTGTGTATTAGTGAGCGAAACCTGCTCCGCATATGTTTTGAGTCTATAGTTCTGAAAAGAAATTTTTTTATGCATTCATAGATACTAATTGTTGATAATTCAGGAATTTTTAAATAAGTTTATTTGATATAAACAATTTCCTATATTTTTAATAGGGATTGGATAATATGACACCAAAAATTAATAATAATAAATATTTTGTATTACTCACGAAATGATTTGATAAAAGTATATAGCTTCGAGAACGATAGGAATTCTCTTAAGTCTCCTGATTATTGTATGGCTTTGAACCCGCATATAATGACATTTAACAATCTTATTCATCATCTTATTAACTGTACATGCTTGACATGCTTGATTATGTTGATTTCATTCTCCTACTAAAATAAAGTTTTCTTATATATAACATTAGATCTAATTTGATTTTCTATAGAGTAATAATCATCAATCTTATTTGAACTATTTGGGATCCGCTATATTAATTTTGTTCAACTATTATGCTCTATCAAGGTTCATATCCTCAGTGAGACCATAAGTCTCATATCTTTTCTCACTACTTCCATTCATATTCTTTTGAGTTTTCACCTTGACCTTTTAGAGCTTTCTATTTGAATCAATAGCACCTCCTCACTTGTGTGTGTATTGAGTATGTGATGCATATAGCTAATCCATGTTAGTCTACTTTCCCTTACTTATCGTATGGTCTATTGGAGCCATCCTTAAGTTCTCTCGACTGTATTTATTTCGAACTCTATTATTGTTATTTTTTGCTATTCATCGATCTCAACATTCGTATCAGAGCTACACTCATCATATGGACAATGTTACTTTTTGACCACCCAACATCCCTTTCCATAAAACCAAAATCGGTCTTACAAAAGAGTAATTTACCTCTTAGGATGGACTTCAAGAAAGAGAGAGAGAGAGAGATAGGAGTAAGAACTTGGATATCGTCTTTTCCAACTGATTCTATTATTATAGTTTCTTAATGTTAATAATCTAACTGGTTATATTACCATACGACCAATTTTAAAGTGGGAGAAGTTAAATGTGCTTGATTATCACCATTTTTAGAATTTTTAAATTTTATAATTGGAGGTAATATTAGATTTTCATATCATTTCAATGTTTTGCTGCACCGAAATAGTATTTTCGGATGTACCTTACTTCAATAGTATAAAGTTCTTATACAAACCTCACCCGTATTTCTAATATACATGTTTAGTGCCTCTCTAGTGGTGGGTAACATGACGTTTTGATATACGTGATCGAAGTACCAAAACTTATTTCCATTATTTATTTCCCTCTAAATTACATTTAGAGGAAAATAAGATATTTTCTTATGAGTCATTGAGACTATTTGGTACTTTGATTATATGATGATTGTGATGATATTCTATTTGGTTTGTGAAGGTCAACGCAAGCAAGTGCACTCTTTGTAAAAGGCGAATACCAAAGTTCGATCACATTTATGAAGATAAAATATTAATCGTTTTAATGATAAGGGTGACTATTCTAATTGTCAAGATACAATATTAATTATGTTAAAGGGTAAATGATAAATGGTCATTTTTTTCCAAAGAAGTTATGATAAAATAAATATAAATAAGTGTTGGTCAAATTTGAGTGTTAAATAATACAAATTATGATAGAGAATGTACATTAGAGACACATCATCGCATGTGTTGGGAATATATATTTTAGATATTTCTATTTCCTCATGCTTAAGAAATTATCTGATGAATGAGAAAAGTTTTAGCAATTTTTATTTGGTTCATGAATTTTACCTAATCATATTTAATATAAAATATGTCTTATATTTTTAATAAATCATTTGCAGATTCTTGAATGTTCCCATGATTATAGATATAAAAAATCTTCCTTAGTGACTTTTTCATTTTAAGGAGCAAGTGGACTTTGTACTCCTATAGGAGCATGGCATACACAATTTTAATATATAATATAACATTAGATTGAGGGCTAAAAGTAGTAGAGCATGCTTTTTGCAAGGTCACATTTTGTACTTAATCCCAAAATTTGCAAAATTTGCAAGGTAACTAAAATTTGCAAAATTTTAGTTACAAATTATTGTTTTCTCTAAGCCGTATATGTAATATGAACATATATATATATATATATATATATTAATCACATTTTCTCAAAGAAATGTGAGGTCTCTATTCAATATGGTATTGTTATTTTTTAATGCTTTTTTATGGTATGTTTATTTACTTTTAAAAGTAGTATAGCATGCTTTTTGCAAGGTCACATTTTGTACTTAACCCCAAATAAAAGATCCACTGAGGAATATCTTCTAAGTCAAAAGTTTATAAATGCATTTTAAATAATCAAAGGAGAAATCTTCAAACAAAAAAATTTAAAATTTGAGTTTCTAAATTCCTATATTTGATCGCATAATTTCTCCTTTTTTTTGCTGTCAAATAATTATCTGGTGATTCTTTTACTCACCCCTA